GTAGGGAAATCACGTCTTATGCAAAACAAATTCCAGAAGTGATTTAAATGAGCATGAGTTGCTGGATTAAGGTAAGGGAATATTACCACCACTTCCTGGTTTCTAGGGACAAACCAGTCAATAAATGGTTAGCATTGTGCATTGTATGTTTGTATCTACACGAATGGAAAGGAGAATTACAGCTTTCTTTGTATTTCTAAAAGAATACACGTACATTCATTCTTTCAAAAAGTGCTAGTTGTTTTGTATCTCCTACATGTATCAACCATTTTGTAACTATAACTTCCTACAGATAAGTGCCTCATTTATTCACTTTATTTTACATAATAAAATGAATAAAATAAGAGTTCTTAATATTTTCATCTCTCACCATGGATAGTAATATAAATTTTTTATGATGATTAAGAACTCAATAAAAAATCTGGATGACCGTATGTAACTTTACACATAGACGAATTCTGAGTTAGTGTTTTATTTAAATGCTGGACATTATCTTATATCAAGTCTTATATCTGGGTCCGCATAATGAATATAGTACTAAATATAACCAAGTATCTAGTCACATTATATGTGCTTCCTAGTCTAGCACATACATCTAGTACTGTGGTTCTCCCCACCTCCTAGGAAATTTATAGCATAGTATCTTTAGTTTTCAGGAGTTTTTTAAAGTATGAGTTGGTGTGAGGTTCAAAATCGAAAACTAATTTAACAGTTTTTTTTTTTTTCAGTAAGGAAGAAACATAAAGTACAAATTGTTGTCAAAGTATTGTAAATAGGCATATCTTCATTCCTTCCTAAAATATGTTGCTTTGGGGACCAGCAGATGGTGTGGTAGTTAAGGCACTGGACATTCCCACATGGTTGACCACAGTTCGAGTCCCGGACCTGATGGCTTGCTTTTTCACTTTATCTTTCTCTCTTTCTCTCCTCTTTCTCCTTTCTCTCCCTGCTCAAATTAAAATAAATTAATGAATAAATAAAATAATTCTTAAACAATGTTGCTGTCATACAGCATTCTGACACATGAGATCTTAAAAATTCAGGGCTACGAGTATCTCATCCCCTGCCCCTCAACGTACCCCAGAATCTGAGACAACTGACAGTAAGATGCCTTTTTAAATGTTTGTTCATCAAACATTTACTAAGCCCTTTTTATGTGAGCTAACATCCTAGGCACTGCACAAGACTATGGTGGTACTTCAAAAAGTTCATGGAAATGCTATTACTATCAAAATACAAGTTTATTTTAGCGCAAAAATATTTTTGAAATCCATGAGTAGTTTTTTTCATAATCCACATTTTCCATGAACATTTTGAATATCCCACATACACTTACGAGAACTCAACTTTGATATGTACCGTATTGTAAATCATTACTAAGTCATGGTTACTTTATTTCCATTCTGAAAATGCAATTGATATAAATGAAAATGTATTTGCCATGTTTAACCTCTAAGCTGGTTGTTTTCATTATTAGATACAGAAACACAAAATGCTTAGGAATCCTTGGTGCTGAAATGAAGAAAGAAAACTTTATAAATCCTTGAATGATTTTTCATATATTTATGTATTGATATGTTAGTCAGTTGATATTGTTTATAAAAATAAATACATTCTGAGCAATTAAACTTTTTTCAAGCGAGATTTTTGCAGAGTGCTTGTGCTCACTGGAGAGACAGAAAGTGAGAAATCACCCTCCAGGGGAGATGGCTGCACTGCAGTTCCTTCTCTTCCATTCTCCTCCTGGGATTTTGGGAACACATGTACATGGCGTGAGTTTCAAACCATCCAGATATTGGATTGTGGTTGGCCACATGGGGGTCCAGAGCCTCAACCACTAGCCACCACTGGTTCCAACAATTAAACTTGTAAAACTGAAAGTCCGTGTAGTGAGTTCTTCAGAATCATCGTAAACCCAAAAGGTGTGTACTGTAGTCCTAGCAATAATTTAAATGAAGGACCAGATAAACTTTCTTGTAGAGCTAAAATAGTAAAATGTTTTGAACTCATATACACAAAAAGCTTTTGTCCTAAATTTGGGCGAGGAGAGGATATCACTCCATTGTTCACATTATATATGGAAGGAACAATTTTATAGACTGAATTGAAATAGTAATCAGATAAGTAACCACCAGTAAGAGAATGTCTACTTATTTATTTATTTATTTATTTTAGTTTTATTATAGAGCACTTGTGCTTGCTAGAGAGAGAGAGAAAGAGAGGGAGAAAGTGAGAAATCATCTCCCAGGAGTATAGTCACACCACAATTTCTTTTTTTTTTCCATTTTCCTCTTAGGATTTTGGACACACATGTATGTGTGCTGGGTGTGATTTCTTTTTAATAATTTTTTAATTACTTTTATTTAACTTTATTTTAATTTGACCAGAGAGGGACAGAGTGTGTGTGAGAGAGAGAGAGAAAGAGAAAATGAGAAAACAAGCTGCAGTTGACCATGTGGGGATCCAGAACCCTTAACCTGCCGGACCCTGGGTGTGATTTTTTAAAGCCACCAGTTCCAGGACTCGTGCCATACTGTCAGCCATGTGCAATCCAGTCATGTAAACTGCCGTGCCACCTGCTAACTTGAGAATATTTGCTATTAAAGCAGAGAAGATACTTTCAAGGGAACAATTGTTTCCTGAACTGAAGCTAATCTTAATAGAAAAAAAAAAATAGGTAATGTGCAAAAATCAGACTTTTCTTTTCTTGTTCAAATTCATAGACTAGCAACCCTATATTTGGTTATTGGGAAAAAATCATGATGCATTTTTGCATAGAAAAATGCATCGTGACTTTTCCAATGACCCGATAGTTTTATTCTATTTAAAATATATGGGTCATTATTAAATAAACCATTGTGGTAAAGCAAAAACACCCGAAAACAAAACTTTCACATAAAGAGTCTTAAATGGCAACATTTGCACCACAGTCAAGTATTTTCCGAGTTCATGTACCAAGCAGTGCCTGACTTGGTTTCTCAACAGGCAGTCGCAGCAGCGTCAGCTGCTTCGAGAGATTTCAGTGGAATAGGTGGCCTGGGAGAGCTCTTAGAAAGTTCTTCAGAAGCATCGAAGTTAAGCTCCAAAAGTGCTAAGGAGTGGAGGAACCGAAGGAAGAAAAGAAGACAGAGGGAGCACCTCGAAGGAAACAACAAGGGTGAAGGGGACAGGTTTCCCAAATCTGAATCTGAAGACAGTGTCAAAAGAAGAAGTTTTCTTTTCTCCATGGATGGAAACCGACTGACTGGGGACAAGAAGTTCTGCTCTCCCCATCAGGTACAGTTTTCTACATGTACCCTGGTTGGTTCTGCTACTGCTATTACCTTTTAATGACTATATTTCATTTTTATGCACTTTGTGATATCTGCTTTAGGTGAAGAACAAAGAACTACCATTTATACAGTTATTTAAATTTTTGCAAATTGTCTTCAAAAAGGATTTTTATTAAACTATTCATAACTTTTTTGTTTTTGTCTCTTAGATTTTTTTATTATTTTATTTTAGACAATCACTGTACATCACTAAAGCTATCAATTTAAGGTAATCAGCTTGAAAGATTTCACTATTTTGATACCACATTTCTCAATCTGCTTCTATTTTCCCCCAATGTAACCGACCTATCAGCCTTTTCTTTTCAGTGAGAGTTTTGGAATCTCTTATGTATGTGTTTTCCACTTTGAGATCTCAGATAAACCTATCTTCTTTGCATATGAGTTTCTGCCTTTATCATCTGAGGTTGTGATTGTGACGTTTGTATGGATATTGGAAAGCAATGTCTCTGGATTTTGCCACTACCCTTTGATATGAGAAGTGTACTTGGTGAGTCTTCATTACACTGGCACGTGGCCTCTGACCCAACTACTCTTAAGGAACAAAATTGAAAATTATCTGTTTTTTCCAATTTTTAATTTCAGTTGACACCAAATAATTGTTAATATTTATGGGGCAACATATGAATTTTCAGAACATATATGTAATGTGTAATGATCAAGTCATGGTAATTAGCATGGCTATCACCTCAAACATGTATCATATACTTTGTTTTTGGAACATTAGAACTCCTCTTTTAGATACTCTGAAATACAGATAACATTACTGTTAACTATTGTTACCCTTTTGGACTATAAAACACTAGAACTTCTCTTATCTAACTGTAGTTTTGTATTCATTAACAAAAAAGATTTTGTGCCCCAAATCTCTCTCCTCATCCCTCCCTCTAGTAATCACTATTCTACTCTCTACTTCTATGAGGGTAACTTTTCTTGTTTCCACCTGTGTATGAGACCATGCGATTTTTTCCTTTCTGTGTCTGGGCTATTTTACTTGATAGAATGTCCTCCAGGTTCACCCATCTAATATCAAGTGGCAGGATTTTATTCTTTTTAATGGCTGAATAGAATTCCATGTGTAATAATATTCTGTGTGTGTGTGTGTGTGTGTGTGTGTGTGTGTAGGTTGTTTAGGAAGAACTCACTGTAAACAAAAAAAAATTGTCGAAAATATAGAGAAAGCAAGAGAAGAGGCTATTGGAGGGAAAAGCATTTTAGGCTGATGCGTAAGAAGTGCAAGGTCCAATATGGCAGCATGCCTGGAATGGTCAGGCCGCAAGTGAAAGGGCTGGGTGGCTGGGGCCGAGTAAAGCAAGATGAGGCAAAAGCACAGGGAAGTTAGCTACCAGTCAGAGTTGCAATCCTCAGAACAGTATCCAGTGTATTCACATGAGGCCTGTAGTTCTTTTTATGTTTGTGGTTAGACAGATGATTGACTGATAACTTAAAAAGTAGAAGAAATGTCCGGTTAGCATTGCATTTACGTATCCCAACAAAGACAGGCAGGAAGCATTAACACAGTTCATGAGCAGAAATATGCCAGAAGCCATTTACAATTCTGACTTTGAAAACAGAACAGGACTCTCTGGCTCTCTGGTAGGAAGAGAATCAGTAAACGTGATGGGGACAGGAAACACAATATGTTCAAAACAAGTATACCTTCCGAAAATGTAAAAACAGGTCACAATAGACGGGTACCCTGCCACTTACTAATAGAAATTTTATATGTTATTTTACAGGTATTACATTATTTTATTTTGAAATGGATCATAGATAGTACATTGTCCATTGTACAAAATAAAATATTTAAAGGTGTACGAGGGGAACATAGAACCAAAAATTTGATCTTTGTTGTTTGGACATGCTGAATCAATTTATTTTCCACCAGAAATGTTGTACCCATAACCAAGTGTAGTTGTTAACCTATTGAAGACATTGATAAGGTGCCTACATTTAATTTGAAATGCTAAGTGAGCATTTCCAACAAATATTTACATGTTTCCACTAGAACATCTTGAAATGTTCATCTACTTTTTCTTCCACCTTACTTTTCCAAGCTTACTTTGAATCTAGACCTACATGCAAAACTGTCCCACACAGGCCTAGTTTCCTCTATTTTCCCTTTTGTTACTATTTTTTTTAATTACATGTGGCATAGTGGTTAAGGCCCAGGACTCCCACATGGTCCATCACAGTTCAAGTCTCAGACCTGCTGACTTGAAATTCATGTCAGGCACTTGTACTAGAGTGCTCAAAATCCCAGAAGGAAAATAGAGCAGAAAGGAATAGCATGGTCATCCCACAGGGGGTGATTTCTCACTTTCCCTCTCACTGTCACTCTCTGGTGAGCACACATGCCCTATGGCAAAAGTCTTATAAATTTTATTATTTTTTAAATTACATTTATCTTCTCAGAAAAAAGTTTAAAAAAAAAATGATACCACTAGGATTTTTTTGGTATTCCTAAGGAAAAGAAAGATGGCCTTTTAGCCTTTTGGCCCTTAAAACACAAAACCTTGTTTTCCCTGGTAAAGGGGTTGCCACAGCTGTGGGTATTCCCTTCCCTCGGCTGCATCTTCTAGTATGTTATTTTTGGTTTATTTTCTCTAAAAACTATTTTTGTAATCTTCTTTTTCAGTTTCTGTTGCCTTGAAAGCTGTACTCACACCCATTATTATACTTTCCAAAGAGTGAATAGAAGTTTCAAATAAACTCAAAGATCTGGAACGCCTTTGAAAATACTCTGACATAAAAGCATGCAAATTAAGGCATGTACCAGATCTATTATGGAGGTACAAACATACCACACACTCCCAACCAGTATTGGGCAGACAGATTTCCAGTTTCCAGAGGCAGTTTCAGAACAGAGGGCTATTAGGATGATTACATTGAACCATTTTAGGGATTAATGGAAGACAAAATGTATATGTGTCTGTGGGTGGAGGGCAAAATCCACATGCATTAGAATCATGTACTGAAACTTCAGATTTTCTATCTGAATTGTCCTATCTCCTACTTAGTGAGCCACAATCCCATAAAGTTGGCACCTAAAAATATGTATTTTCAACATGCAAAGTGATCCCTGTACACAATCAAGTTTCAAAACACTAGTTCTGTACATAACTACTATTTGGTAATTAAGCATACTATTATGGTAATTTAAGTATAGGCTATTAAAAGCATTAACATTCCTTATTAAAGAGAGGTGAATTAATGTCTTCACATAGTATAGTCTCTTGATTGCTTTGATGAGAAATCAGCATAACTCCTGTCTAGCACTGGGTGAACAAACCTACTCAGGAACTGAGTGTCATGTAGACACAGCCTCAGGTTAGACACATTCAAAGTAACAGTCTACTGTTTAATGAATATGATCTTTTCCAAATATCACTGAGACAGAGGGCAACGAAGATGATTCTGTTGCTTCTCAGTCTGAGAAAAGCCACAAAAATAAAGCTAAAGACAGGGTCTAAAAAAATCGACATGACCTAATTAGGCAGAGAGACCAAAAATAAATCTGAGAGCCTGCCTTTCCCATGTTTTCTCCCCAAAATTAGTTTACTTGGTTTAGAGCAAAGCTTTGAAGAAAAGGAAGGCCCAGACATGGTTGCTGCAGGCATACATGTGTGTGTATATATGAATGTGTGTGTCTCTCTGTCTGTATATTACCCTGGCTGTGGAGGGAGGTAGGAAACTGAATGAGGGACCACGCAGACGAAAGAAATGTCATGTTAGGGATGAAGGCAGCCAGCAAATATTCTACAGATGGAATAAAGGTGTTCTGAAAAATATCATCGAAGCTAGAATAAACACAGAATTACTGGGTTGTTGGGAAAGTCGTGATGCATTTTTGCATAGAAAAATATTTAAAAATATGTCATGTCTTTCCCAATGACCTAATAATTGGTGCTGCTAGTTTTAAAATTCAATCGAGAAGTGAAAGAAGGAGTTTTAAGCTAAATATTTATTTTCTAGTACTAGAAAACAATTTACTTGATTTTTGTGTGAATATCTGTCACTTGAAAAGTTTTTGAATCATCTATTATTTTTATATAATGAAAGTGAAATCAGAGTAATATACTGTCTTCTTCATCACCCTCTGGTAATCATGCTATATGTTTTGCTTCTTAAGCTAGTGTTAAATTTTAAATAAGAATAGCAATTTATGTAGTAGTTTAAGAATCCTCTCTGTTGTGCTTGCTGTGACTTGTAGTCTCCTAAATAAAGCGAATCATTGGTTGACATTTGGAAAACTGTTAGCAATTTGGAAGACAGCATCATATAGGTAAGTTTTGTGACTTTTATTCCCATGTGGGAGAGGCAAACAGGTCCAGAAACTAACAAAACAAATTTTGTTTTAATTTTTGCATTTTAGGATTATTTTATTTAATTTTATTCACCATTATTATTATTTTAATTTGACCAGAGAGATACAGAGAAAGAGAGAGAGGCAAAGTGAGAAAGCAAGTTGCTAGGTCCAGGACTTGAACCATGGTCAGCTGTGTGGGAGTCCAGCACCTTAACCACCATGCTACCTGCCAGCCCTTCAAATTTCATTTTATAGCAGAGAATTGAGAGAACATTTTTAAAATAATTATTTGAGCCAGTAGCTTCATTTGATCTGAAACTAATTCTCCAATTGGCATGTCCTTCAGTTCATTGCACTGAGAAGTGAAATCTATCTACTACCACTCCCACCAAAAGGAACTGTTTATCCTCTCCAGCATCTGGTCCCTCACCGATAGCATTATGATATACATTCCATCCCACATTACTAGAGGGAAGATTAAACAAAGGAGTCATGGAATCGGCAGGTGGCATGGTGGTTAAGGCACTGGACTCCCAGATGGCTGACTGCAGTTTGAGTCCTGGAGTTGGCGACTTGTTTTCTCACCTTCCCTTTCTCTGTCTCTGGACAAATTAAATAATAATAATTAAATTAAATTAAATAATCCTTTTAAAAAACTAAAAAAATGAAGGGGTTATACGCTTAATTACAATTCAGTATTCCTAGAAAAAAGTTTTTATACTTTATTTTATATTATCGTCTTTAATAAAAATATAAAAAGTGTTCTCTACAAATTTGATTGTCCATGCTTAAGAATAAGCATTGCCCATATTTTAACCAAAAGTAAATCAATTCTACAATGTTAAGACTTCGATGAAGCCATTGTGTTTTCTTCCCAATTCCTTTCTTCCTTGCTTTCTCCTAGTCCCTGCTGAGTATTCGTGGCTCCCTGTTTTCCCCAAGACGCAACAGCAAAACAAGCATTTTCAGCTTCAGAGGTCGGACAAGGGATGTGGGATCTGAAAATGACTTTGCTGATGATGAGCACAGCACATTTGAAGACAGCGAGAGCAGGAGAGACTCCCTGTTTGTGCCGCACAGACATGGAGAGCGACGCAACAGTAACGTTAGTCAGGCCAGTATGTCATCCAGGATGGTGCCAGGGCTTCCAGCAAGTGGGAAGATGCACAGCACTGTGGATTGCAATGGTGTGGTTTCCTTGGTGGGTGGACCTTCAGCTCTAACGTCACCTACTGGACAACTTCAGCCAGAGGTGATAATAGATAAGCCAGATGCTACTACGTTGTACACCAATTAAAAACTCTCAAGGCCTGGGCAGTTTTGCCAGTTATCCCATCCTGCTTCCCAAAACTGAAAGTCCTTTAAATTAAAACGTGATTAATCAAATGGAAAGCAGCAGAATTTTGAGAACCAATTGAATCATAGGGGATCATTAGTTTTCAAAAGCTTTCCTTACAAGAGCCCATGTTTTAAAATCTGATATGAAACACATTTGAAAATTCAGTAGGCCTAACAACATAAAATAATGGGCACTTTGATAATCAAGTCATAATTATAGATGTATGTTCACTCATAGTTGTATAATTATTTACAGTCCGGAAATTTTATATTCTTGAAACTAAACATTGAAATGATCAATATATTGATAATAGACAGTTTTTATGTAACTGTCAATAATACAGTACTATTTAAAATGACTAAAATATGTTGATATATTACAGGCTGGCATATAGAAATAATTTTTTAAATCTCAGGAAAGCACACACATTTCATTGTACATCTGTGTTTGTGCATGAAAAAAAATGGCCTATATATGTGCATATTGTCCATATAGCCTCAAAGAAAATAATTTAATCTTGAGACTATATAATCATAGTATTTATTTTAGGGGAACATTGATCTGATTATTAATCATTGATGTGAGTTTAAAAATATATTTAAATGCTAAAGCAGAAGTCATTTTAGCATGCTTATGAAAATTTTCCCTGGAAATTCTGAGAGGTTAATCAATATATTTCTGCCATGTAATTGCCCTGTACAATTGCATCCAACAGGTAAACACTGGTTAAAGGGCATCATCTGCCATTTTTTTAACAATAAATTCAGTATTTTATTATTTCTTGAAAATTGGTACATGAAAGAACTGCATGTAGCATGATTTTCCAAAGAAATGCTTTGTGGTGTTACATTATTCATTCACTAAAAAGGGTGGTTTGAGCCATCAGTATTTGGTTTGCAGGGCACCACCACTGAAACGGAAGTCAGAAAGAGAAGGTTAAGTTCCTTCCAGATTTCAATGGAGATGCTGGAGGATTCCTCTGGAAGGCAAAGAGCTATGAGCATAGCCAGCATCCTGACCAACACAATGGAAGGTAGGAAGCAGGTCATGGTATAGTCAGCTTTCCATTGGCGTGTGCTTTGTGGGAAGGTTTAGTAGAATTACCAGAGTCTGTTACCCAAGATTACATGGAATTGCTTTTATTTATTTTTTTTAAGAGAGATTTTTGCTATTGGGTGTGTGTGCTCACTGCAGAGACAGAAAGAAAGCGAGAAATCACCCCCCAGGAGGGATGGCCATGCCACAATCCCTTCTCCTCCAGTTTCCATTTGCACACATGCCTGGCATGAATATGTAAGTGTGTAATAATTGGAATAAATTATTACCACACTTATTACAAAAATTAATAGTAGCTTTGTTTCTATCTCAACCTAATCTTTAGAGCAATATTTTACCACTCTATATTATGTCAGTGAGGATTTGTTCTTCTGTTACCCTTGTGCAAAGAAGCATTCTTTTTTTTTTTTTTTAAAGATTTTTGCCATAAGGCACATGTGCTTGATGGAGAGAAATAGAGAGACAGTGAGAATGAACAAAATTCCCCCCCCAGAGGGGATGGCCATGCCATAATCCCTTCTCTTCCATTTTTCTTCCTGAGATATTGGGCACATAGGCACACATGCCTGGCATGAATTTCAAGGTGCCAAGTCCAGGACTCAAACCATGGTCAGCCATGTGGGATTCCAGGGCCTACACCACTACACCACCTGCTGACTTCAGCGCTTCTCTATTTAAGTAGATAAAAGCACAAAGAAACATCTCTTTCAAGCTTGATCTGATTTCCAGGCAAAAAGTGGTAATAGGATTGGGATAGGGTAAGAATAGATTGGACAAATCAAAACCTGTGCTCCAAGAAGGACTCTACAATAAACATCTCTTCCATCCTCAGCATATATAGTAACCATTACATTCCTGCCAAGGATAGATGATTCAAGTGCTTACTAATTTTGACACAGAGGAATTGGTAACAGCTATTATTTCTTTTTCCTATATTAAATGAGTATGAACAACTCCTTAAAATTTGGAGGGAAACTATATTAATAGCACAATTTTGTAATTTAATTGTTTAAGTCAATTCTAACATATGTTCTCTAGAAAATCAATTATGTTTTGTATTCATCTTAAAGGTGATTCAACATGCAGTCACATAATAACTATTTTATAGCAGGCTTCCCCTCATTAAAAGTACTAATAACTTTGTATATATATGAGGCTGAAATTCTAAAAGATACAAGTGAATCACAGAAGTACATTTGGGTATGAATATATACTAAAAAGGATATATTTTTATTGTATACAAAATTAATATTGATGAAGAGATTATATTGAAATTGATCATACATATTAATAAGGATTAGAGCTTAAACCATTCTTAAAAAGGTCCTTTCAGGGGCCAGCAGGTGACATGGTGGTTAAGACGCTAGACCCCCACATGGCTGACTGTGATTCGAGTCCTAGACCTGGTGATTTGAAAGTCACCAGGGCATGTGTGCAGGCATGCCCAAAATCCTGGGAAAAGAGTGGAAAAGGAATTGTGGCATGGCTGTCCTTGAGGGGTGATCTCTCACTTTCCCTCTCATTGTCTCTATCTCTCTCCAGCGAGAGCATGCACCCTATGGCAAAGCCTTAATAAACAAATGAAGGAACTTTAAAAAGAAATCATTTAATAAATTTAAAATATCTGTAGTTTATTTAAAATTTTATTCTAATAACGAGAACATGGTATCTTAATGATTACCTAGTTAGTTATTTCAAAGCAAAATATTAAATTCAGGATTTTTTTTGTATTTACAAGAGAAATATCTGGGACCAGAAGATGGCATAATGATTACATCACTGGACTCCCAAGTAGTCGGCTGCATTTCAAGTCCTGGGCCTGGTGGCTTAAAACTCACACCAGGCACATGCACATGTGTGCCCAAAATCCTGAGAGGAAAATGGAAGGGATTGTGGTGTGACCATTGCCTCGGGGGATTATTTCTCCTTTTCTGTCTCTGTCTCTGTCTCTCCAGTGCACATACACACCCTATAGCAAAAATCTCTCTTAAAAAAAGATAAACATCTATCTACATGGTATATTTAATGAACATTTTTTTAAAAAGTTCATTGGAATTGTCTTCTCCAGTTTGTTAAGTTAAATAATATGACTCCTATTTCCCAAGTATACACACCAGTATTATCAGATGTTGTATAATCTACCAGCAGCAATAATTCATTTGTATTATTGTTAACTATTCTACCTCTTTATCATCCCTCCAGAACTTGAAGAATCTAGACAGAAATGTCCCCCATGTTGGTATAGATTTGCCAATGTGTTCTTGATCTGGGACTGCTGTGATGCTTGGTTAAAAGTGAAGCATCTTGTGAACTTAATTGTTATGGATCCATTTGTCGATCTTGCCATCACTATTTGTATTGTCTTAAATACCCTCTTTATGGCCATGGAGCACTACCCTATGACGGATCAATTCAGTAGTGTGTTGAATGTAGGAAACTTGGTAAGTTCATTTGCAAAGTGAAAGCTCTTTGTTATGTTGAAACCAAAATTTATATCGTTTTTCTTTCTTATTTTTAAGCTTTATTTTCTTTTTAATTTTTTAAATAATTATTCTATTTAACTTTTAGTTATTTATTTTAATTTGACCAGAGAGGGACAGAGCAAGAGCGAGCGAGCAAGAGCAAGAGAGCGAGAGAGCGAGAGAGCGAGAGAGAGAGAGAGAGAGAGAGAGGGGAAAAGTGAGAAAGCAAGCTGCCAAGTCCGGGATTCGAACCATGGTTGGCCACATGAGAATCCAGCACCCTTAAACACCGTGACATCTGCTGGCCCCTATCCTTTTCTTTTTAGAAAGAAACGTCATTTAAAGGAATAATTCAAGGACTCTCAGAGATAAGGTTCAAAATTCAAGTGGTGTCAAAGCTGATTTTGTCGGGGCTGATTTATCATATTGTAAATCTCTCAAAATTCTTTAAAGTCATTCTTGATGGAAATATAGATTCAGATAAACCATGAGATCTAATTCTCAGTCCCCCAAATTTTAAGTCACACCATTTCTAAAGAAACTGTGTTCAGTGGAAAGCTGACCTAAAGTTTGACTTAAATTTTAAAGACAGGGTAGTAGTCGGGACCAGCAGTTAGCGTAATGGCTATGTCGCCGGACTCCCATGTAGTCGACCACGGTTCGTGTCCCGGACCCGGTGACTTAAAACTCATGCTAGGCACATGTGCATGCATGCCCAAGATCCTGAGAGGAGAATGGAGGAGAAGGGACTGCGGCGTGGCCATCCCCCCTGGGGGGGGGGGGATTTCTCGCTTTCTGTTTCTCTGTCTCTCTCTGTCTGTCTGGCGAGTGCATGCACCCTATGGCAAACACCTCTCCAAAAAAAAAAGAACAAAAGAAAAAACAGGGTAGTAGTTTGAGATTGTATTACCGAATAAAATGTGTCAACTATAGTATTAAAAGAGAAGAAATAATTGTTAAAAATTCATTCATCATTTAACCACACTTTTGGTTCAAATTATTTGAGCATGCATCTATGTCTATGTGTGCTGGTGTACATTTCATTCTAACACTACAGGAAAAAATTGAAATGGCTGAACAAGTAAGAAAATGGCTTACATATATTATTAATCATGCCTTTCCCTTTACTATCTTAAACAAGCTTGGAAGAAGGTGAAGACTAACTTGGAATGAAAAGGGAAAGTAAACTATCAAACCACATACAAAGTTACATTAAAGTTGGGTTTCAGGAAAAGTTTTAATCAAGGGCTTGGATGTAACCTCCAAATCCACTGAAATCTCACTAGTTTTACATCTTGCAAACTCTGCTCTGGAAAAGAATGCATCTCTTTTTGAGTTCTAGTTCAAAGACTAATGATAGGACTGCATATGGCAGAGTATGGATAGATACCTCTGGTTTGATCGATTTTGTATAGCATGAGATCATGCAAAACATGACAGTCCTGAGGGATCTCACAGATGGAGGAGCAATTTATAACAAAGTTAGGAAAAATGAAATCTGAGCAGAAAATCATTAATATATAAATATGTACCCTAACGACTGTCCTCAATGTCTCTGCTTATTCTATTCACTAGAACACCATCATAGTCTTCTTCTTGAGCACCATAATATCATTTTTCAGGTTTTTTCCCTGACTTTCTCCAATCACTCCATAGCTGTGTTCTTTTTAGACTTCTCTTATGCTTATTTAAGGCTACATTTTTCACTTAGTATGCCATAACTCTAGGAATTATCTACTTTAGTGGTACAAATTATATTCCCATCCTATATTTAAATGGTTACAAGTCACTGCTCAAGAATTACTTTAAACACAGTATGTACATAGATGACAAATCATCTTTCTCACAGTTTATTGAAAGTACTACCAATCTCACTTCTGTCTTGTATTACACCTGGTATGACCTTCTGGCCTCCAAGATAAAAATACTATTATTTTGATTTAATTTTCTTTTATTACTTACATGTGACTTGATATAAAGACCCATTATTTCTTTTTCAAGGAATTTTCTCTTTAATATTAAAATTATGGTATAATGGTTATGTCACTGGACTCCCACATAGTTGACTATGGCTCAAGTCCTGACCCGGTGGCTTAAAGCACACTAGGTGCATGTGTGTGTGTGCCCAAAATCCTGAGAGGAGAATGGAGGAGAGGAGATTGTAGCATGGCCAGCCCCCCTGGGGAGTGATTTCTCACTTTCTGTCTCTCTGAGTACATGCACCCTATAGAAAAAAAATTAAAATATTTCTGGTATTCTAAATTCAATATGTATTCACCTTGCTAAAATATTGTCTGTTTTTGTGGTTCAACACTACCTGGTTTTCAAGACAATTCATCTCATCCTCTCTCTCTTCTCTCACATGCCATCTTCCTGTCCTATTTTACCTAATAAACTACCATTGGTCCAGTTGGAACAGCCTCATCAAAACCATACATATGTCAGACGAATATTTATATATTTACAAATAGAAAGTTATTTATTTCTTTATGAACTATTTCTACATTCATATTTGGAGTTTTCTGACTCAGTTTGTCTTACCTCAATTTTTCATGTTGAGGTCCAATTCCATCATATACCTTCTGATATGACACTCAGCCTGGACTGAACTTTTTTTCATAATTTCTATTGCATTCATGGACAAAACATGGTTAAGTATCAAGTATTTTCTTGTATGATTCTTAATTTTTAAATCCAACGTCAGAGATCTTATCTATTTTTCGTTTTCCCACAGTGTTTATATCATGTTCATACAGTAAATAATCTATGATTGTTTTATATCCAAAAGGGCTGCCTCATATAGTTGTTAAAGAACATGAGCTTTGAAGTCAAGTGGAACTGGGTTTGACCTCAGTCACCAATGCTTACTAATAATATGGCCTCTGGACAAGTCTGATAAACAATCTGAGTCTTTGTTTTCTATTATTGAATGCATGCAATAATACCAATCTCCCAGAGTTGTTGATGGTCAAATGAGGTAACGGGAAATTATGCAGCTCTGTGCCTGGCATCCAACATGTGTTCAATAAACGGTTTCCTTCCTCTTATATATATGCTATTAACCTCTTGGACCTTTATTTGAAATATCAATGGAAAACATTTGTTTTCTAACTCTTGTATTTTTCCCCAGGATATTGAACAACTAGGGAAGTTGAACAGGTGAAGGAAGATTTTGGAAATTTGGTAGACTAAAGCAGGAAACTGAGGCTTTATAGAATTCCAATATTGAAGCAGTTGAGTGTGTAAGCACAGGATGAGTGGTTGGATTATAAAATGGTCAAGTGGAAAAGCACTAGATTAAAGCACCAATCTGAATCCTAGTCTAAGTGTTCACGCTAAATATCCATGTTGTTCTAAGAAAAACCACTTAGATCTTTGGGTCTGTTTTCTCAACACACATATAAACAATGAGTGTGCTAGATCAAATTTTTCATGTCCCTCCTCGTTCTAAAATTGTATGACTTTGTAGGTTTTCACTGAAATAATGAGGTAAAAAATTAGGATGAGAAACTTACTCCAGTAATTTCAAGTTACTATTGAGGAAACAAGGCTCATCAAGATAGAGAGCATTGGGAGCAGCAGTTAGTATAATGGCTATGTTGCTGGACTCCCATGTTGTTGGCCGCAGTTCAAGTCCTGGGCCCGCTGGCTTAAACTCACACTGGATGCATGTGCATGGGCATCCAAGATCCTGAGAAGAGAATGGAGGAGAAGGGGTTGTGGCCTGGCCATCCCACCTGGGAGGTGATTTCTCGCTTTCTGTCTCTCTGTCTTTCTAGCGAGTGCATGCACCTATAGCAAAAACCTCTTCAAAAAAAGAGAGCATTGGAGCATTGTCCCAATCATAGCAATGCATATCAGATGCTGCCAGTCTTCAGGCTGAACCACATGAAAGGCCTAGGTTAAATTCCTGATCCACTGTATAAAGCCAGGCGTAATAGACACCTCCCTAGCTACTTGGGAGACAAAGGCTTAGGCAGGATTTCATCACAGTGAAATCTTCTCTAAAATACTATACACTCACACACACATACACACAAATATGAAAGCATAGGTGACACAGAATATGCTTATCTATTTGCAACAAGAGGACAATATGTAGTTTCTATTAGCTGTAAAATCCTTATAATTAATAACATCTTATAAAAGTAGGCTTTGTATAGTTTGTGAAGTCATTTTTCATATAATATCTAATACCACTAACACTTTAAATGTATGTTGATATGTAACTGTACACACACACACATA